ACTATAATCATAATGAGGAACCCCCCAAAATAGCCCTAAACCCCAAACCCTAAAACCCTCAACCCTAAACCCTAAAATAGTATAGGTAACTCTTAGGGCCCCTATATTACTTCCTCCAGCCGGACGTTGGCTTCTGGAAACCTGTCCATTTACCGCACGTCAAGGTCAGAACTGAACCCGGTTTAGGGTTTTGGGGTTTTGGGGTTTAAGGCCCCTAAACCCTAAACCCTAAACCCCAGGGTTTATAGGGTTTAGGGGTTGAGGGTTTAGGGGTTTTGGGGTTTATTGGGTTTAGGGTTTATAGGGTTTAGGGTTGTAGGGTTTTGGGTTTACGGTTGTAGGGTTGAAGGTTTATAGGGTTTAGGGTTTATAGGGTTTAGGGTTGGGTTCATAGAAGCCTGTAGAGACTATGGAACCCTGCTGAAGCTCCCCACGAAGCTCCTGCTCCTCTTCATCTTCTTCGACGATCTCTCCTCCGGGCCACGGTTTAGGGTTTAGGGTTTAGGGGAGTAGTGTAGGGGCCTTAATAACTCCAATAGGCTTTTGGGGCCCATTATATTTCAGGAGCCCTTCGGGGGAACGGAATGAAGATAAGCCATGACGAACCCCTGCCATGGGTCCAGGGTCCCAAGAATCACATTCAGGGTTTGGGGTTTACAGCTTAGGGTTTAGGGTTTAGGGTTTAGAACAGGGTTTAGGGTTTAGGGTTTAGGGTTTAGGGGCTAGGGGTAGTACGTGAGTACTGTTCTTGGGGTTCAGGAGACTGCCTACGTAGGAATTTGTGCATCAGGCACCGTTTCTTTGTTTGACATACCATGCTGTACAAGCTCCGTGGGCCTATTTGTTTAGATTGCTTGGGGTATGGTTTTGAAGGACGCCAAACCTTTAAAAACTCTGACTTATACGTGGGTAGTTGTCAAAATTATGGTCCCTTTTGGGGTACCGTAAATAATAGGTGCCGTATTATAATAAGGGCCCAAAAAGGGGCCCACGTGTAGGGCTCAAGGCTTTGAGTTTCTGCTGTTTGTTACAGGCTCCCGGCTTGGTTCAGTTCACCGTTGCGTGTTGAGGTGTCTAATGTAAGGGCCTTACCCTAAGGGTCCATGTACCCAAATAGTAAGGTTTTAGGTCCCAAAATCCATACTCTGAATGGCTTTTGGACCTTGAAACCCTACTATTTGGGTATTTGGACCCTTAGGGTCAATAATTAGACAAGGGTTTTGGGGGTTCCGTACCATAGCTATCGTATAGTATACCCCAAAACCCTGTTCAAAATATTAAGACCCCTCTATTAACCATGGCTGACCTAGGCAACCCGATTTCGCCCAGAGTCTGGAGCAGAGCCAGACTTGCCTTCTGCTGTAGCACGGCTTGGTGATGAGGAGCGCTCCGCTCGTACCCTAAACCCTATAAACCCTAAACCCTAAACGGTCTTGAAGGGCTGACCAGTTCTGGATGCTTCTTGATCCGCAAAACGGAGTCTCGGACGCCGTTAAAAGCCTCTTGCTGGACTCCATGATGTGAGCTATCCTGCAAGAAGCTGCAGAACTGCTCGAGCCCGTGCCGCAAACAGTCCAAAGCAAACCATCTGCTCAGCTGCACGCGATAGACGACAGCATTGAACATGGCTTGATGCCACCAGCTGAATGAGGCTAATGTGGGGGCCCTAATAATTTCAATAAGGCTTTGGGAATAGATGATACTACAGTTATAACTTATGACAAGGAACCCCCCCCAAAAAAAGGGTATTGGTAATTATTTAGGCTCCTATGTTACAACTAGACTCTTCGTTGTTGGGGAAGCCTCGGGCCCGACCCCTACTCCCGAAACCGAAATCCTCAACGAGATTCCAAGACTCGACACCGAGAAGTCGTCGGCACGAAGCCGGAGGTCTCGGAATGGTAATGGTAGTACCCTATTTGGGGGCTTCCGAAAATAGGGGACCCTAATCTAGTACCCTTAATTGTGGGATCCTTATTATAAGGACCCCAAAATAAGGTACCCCTAATTTTCGGAAACTCCCATTTGGGTAGCCTTCTTTGATAGAATCGGACTCTAGAAATCAGGAAAGGCAAGATGAACGAAGAACGTGTGTTTGAGAGTGTCGGTACGCTACAAACTAGAAGTAAAGCCCGAGGAAAAGAGCCCAAAAGTCCTTAAGCCTTGAATCCTACTGCTTTAATTTAATTATTCTTGGGCACCAAAGGTGCTGTAGACTGCAGTTGCGGAGTCCAGACCCACAAGAAGGTTCGGCTTGAAAACCGCGAGTCTTATGGTACCTAAAGCGCTAAACTCGCAACTCTGAAACCCCAAGCATTCACACCCTGAAAATAAGTTTAGGGTTTAGGGTTACGAGGGTTTACCCTAAGGGTCGCAAGGACCCAATAACAAGGTACTTGGGTTGCGGATAGTATTTATCTAGGTTAATATTTGGGAGCGTATATGATGTTGAGGTACTTGGACCCTTAGGGCTACCCATAGGCCCCGTAGTCTGGGAAATAAAAGGTTAAACTTTCAGATTACTACGAAATTATAAGAACCCCCAAAAGTTTAAAAGTTGGGTATTGGGGAACTAAGGTTGTCCAGATTCCAAATGTTGGGGGGGAGTTGACACCAAACCGTCCTTCCACCAGGTTCCGGCACTTGGCTAGGCAGCAGTGCAGAAGGCAGGCACATCCCAAGTTCACCAAGCGAGAGGTGTCGTCCACATAAACCTTGAAACAGGTTTCGTGTCCAAGGCAGTTTAGGGTTTGCCTTGAACTATCACAACCTATTTACTGCGGGCTCTTGTTATAAAAAAGAATTCGTGGGATCCCTACCAAGAACATGTGGTAGTTCAAGGTCGTTTTGGGGACTCGGCCCTCTTGGGATCCATCTGGGCACTCAGGGTAGGCTTTAGGGCTCACATTTTGGGGCTTAGTGCCCAGCTAAATGTTCACTAACTACATTAGAGGAAACTACAGGTGGGGAGTTTAGGGTATATAGAGCTTCTATAAGGCTTTCTATAAGCTATATAGACCTTCTATAAAGCTCCTAAAACGGTAACTACCCACCTGAAAATGTCCTGGACTACTAGTGTGCAAGGGAACGTGCAGGAGCCTGTCCTTAAAGGAAAAAGTTCAAAAACCCTAAAACTTCCTAACCTAAACTCCTAAACCCCAGACCCTAAACCCTAAACTCTAAACCGTACCCTAAACTCTAAACCCTGGATCCGCAGCATGCTATGCCAAGTCTAAGCCAGCGAGACTGTGCAACGTACTTCAGCCGGTAACACAAAGGAGCTAATGAAGGGCTGTAGAAGACTCTTCGGGTTTCGGGGTTTAGGCTTTAGGGTTTGGGCCTTAACCGCATATCACGAATCGGAATCACGAGAGCTTTATGCTTTGATTGCCTCCAAGTCAAACTTCATTCCTGAACCCAAGTCTGCCAAATCAACAACAGGCAGAAAGTTCGGCGGGCCCCCGAGACCGTGGAAATTAATATCCGAAAGCTACGCGCGAAGTGGCTATCCAAATACCGGGGGGGGGGGGGGGGGGCC